CGACCTAATAGTCTTGTCAGTAAATCTTGGTGGATATCCACTTTGCATGAAGATTTCTATCGAAAAGTCGAATCCTTTTTCCAGAGAAAGCATCAGGGCTGCTGCAGATGCGTAGGACGTGAATAACAAAGAGATATAATTAGGTTTCGTTTTTACGCTCACCATTGGTACTCAGCTGCAGAAACTTGTCAGTAAAAGAACTTTCTTCGGAGAAACACTAAGAGTGGTGGTGTTCTCTAGGTGCCCACTGGTTTGCAGAAGTCCAAAGGACAAAATCTCTCAGCAACTGACCACTTCTATGCGTATACATATATCAGTCCACACTTGTTCTTGTGGAGCAAGGTATGCTGGTGTTTCAACTTGGATCCTGTCTACAAATAAATAATGGGAAAAAATTACACGAAATGATCTAACCTGAAGGGAATATACACCATTCAAAACACCTGACCCTTGTTCAACATCTCAATAAGAAGTCATCAATCAAATGCCAGAAGACGACAATATCAATACACACTGACAAACTTTTTCAAGTAGATCCGTAGGAATGCTTTTGGAAAATCACATCAGTACAAATCCTTAAATACCATTCATTATGAAGAACAACAATATCACTGGAAATCTATGCTAAACTAATACCAGTTTGAAGACTGACAGATTACATTGAATAGAAGTGGATAGCTCCCAGTCTGCACACTTTTTGAAATGACACTTAATGAAGATTAATGAAATCCCCAGGGGTCGGTGGCACAGTGGTAGAATGCTCACCAACCGCGTATGTGGACCGGACTGGTAAAACGAGGGAAGGTTGGGCATGAGGCTAGCAACACCAACCCTCTAGCTTGAAACCCTGCGTTCCACTAGGAATGTAAAGGACTAAAAATAAAATAAAATCCTCAAAATACATATCACTTTCAACCATTCTATCAAGACTCTCCAATAAAAGATTCCCCTCCAATTAGGCAACTGACAGCACCAATTTCTCCATAGATTAGTACTTTTTAAGTCTAACCAACCCGTTTTTTTTCAAATTAATCTAGCTGCGAACAACACTGTTCCTCAGAAAATGCAATGACACAGAATTGGATAGCCAGCATAGTCGACGAACATTCAAAATCCCTAAGTCGTATACTCAGGAATAGTTAGCTGTAGCAACCGAATGAGTTAAATACGTGGGTTATAACGATATTAAAAGGTACAGTTGGAAATTCTATTGAATGCAAAATACGATTGTTCCCTCTCTCCCTCTCAAATACGTTCTGCTTGAATGAGTTACGTGAATAGCAAAAGACAAAGATTGACCTATATATACACACTCAACACACATAGAATCATGCTAAGTCAGTGATTAAACAAACTGTAACTTGTTGTCCAGGCCCCTAGATTTGGTATGAGGTCAAAGATTATCCAACAAAAATTATCATATCCACTTAACAACATAGATCTAAGAAAGAAACACAAAATCTTCTACCTCAGCGGCAAACAGCTGGCTTAAAATGCCGCTTCTAGTTTTAGACAGGTGTTCTTTTAGCCATCTTAATCGATGTAGCTTCACAATCACTCGATCGATTGACTTATCCTCCTCCTTACCTGTCTGTCTGTTTTCGACATAGAACTTTGCACCGATGTGCAGCAGTTCAATTCGCCACACTCCCTCCTTGTAGCACACAAAGCAAGAGAAGAAAGTAAAAGAAATGCATAATAGAGACAGTAGACAGGGATATGAGACAAAAGGAATAGTAATAACGAAGAACAATATAGTTTCATTGGGTATTATAAGTCACAAGGAGTGGATGCATCTTCGCCAGCCATTGAATCATATCACTGATTGTCTCCAGCCTTCATTGGTTTTTACCGTCCCGAAGACCCCAACCAGGAAGTCTACACCTTCCTACGTGGCTGGTTTAAACTAACTGTCGTGGATTTCATTGACTGATGAAGCCATGTTTTGGTTTGACCGCCGCCAGCTCTTTTCCAGCCTGACCCTATGTCAGCTAACATTGCCCGTCGAGGAAGGCGATGACTAGGCATACGTAACACATGTTATAACCATCTCAATCGATGTAGCTTCACAGCCTCGTCGACTGATTTCCCCTCCATACCTTACCACTCTAGGGATAAGCTCAGTTTAAAGTCTTACATATGTTCCACTTGGAACGTAAAAGAATGAGAAGGCAATGATGCAATGCATTGCACCCACACTGACAGCTAGGTTGGACCACCTAATGTTCATAATAATAGTAATAATAATCACTTGTCTCTAACGATTTCCAGTTTGTTCTGGTTTATTATTTGCCTTCTTAAAATAATTTTTTCGCCCGAAGAAGAGGATGTCTAGCTGTTGAGACAGCTGGCGGTCATTGACCACAGATGTTTGCGATATATCTGCCGTATTAAGTGGCATATTATGGTGAGTAATATTGAATTTGGGTGTAGAGTGTCTCAGGTAAGGAGGGTAGATAAATCGAGTAGGTTGTGAATCCACGTCGATTGAGATAGCTAAAACATGTAACACGCATCCCGGGCTCTCACCTTTCTCAACGGAGAATATCAATCGACATGTGATTAGGTTGGAAAGGAGTTATAAATGGTCAAACCGCAACAATATAACGACAAACCACGAAGTCCTCCTAAGTGAAGACGCCGAAAAAATGCAGTCTTTTGAACACCTTGAGCTGCGATCTACGAATGTTTGGTATGCGATTTGCTCCCGCCAAATGCAAGATGATGTTACAGGACTGGACTACACTGACTCCTAGTTTAGAAATAGGGAGTGAAGTGGTAGAGCACGTTGACCGATTCACTTACTTGGGAAGTACCATCAGGCCCAACGGGTTGATCGCTGACGAAATCTCAGCACGGATACAGAGGGCTAGTTACGCATATGCCAGTTTACGCCGTCTCTGGCGTAGACGTGATATCCGACTATCGACCAAAGGGCGAGTGGACTGCTCATCAGTCCGCTCCATCCTCCTTTATTACTGTGAGACCTGGCCATTGAGAGTGGAAGACATGAAAATATTAGCTGTCTTTGATCACAGATGTTTGCGTTCTGTCTCCCTTGTATTAGGTAATGGTATAATAGGGTGAGTAATATTGAGGTTAGGCATCGGTTGAGTGCTAGGTAAGGAGGGAGGGGAAATCAGTCGACGAGGCTGTGAAGCTGCATCGACTGAGATGATTAGGACATGTGTTACATATGCCTAGTCATCGCCTTCCTCGACGGGAAATGTTAGCTGACATAGGGTCAGGCTGGAAAAGAGCTAGCGGCGGTCAAACCAAAACATGACTTGGTATCAGTCAATGAAATCCACAACAGTTAGTTTAAGCCAGCCATGTAGGAAGGTGTAGACTTCCTGACAGGTTGGGGTCCTCGGGATGGTAAAAACCAATGAAGGTTGGAAACAATTGGTGATATGGCTCAAACTCATCGTTCTCAATGGCTGCATCCACTCCTTGTGACTTATAATTTCCAATGAAACTATATTGTTCTTCGTTATTACTATTCCTTTTGTCTCATATCCCTGTTTACTGTCTCTATTTTGCATTTCTTTTAACTTTCTTCTCTTGCTTTGTGTGCTACATGGAGGGAGTGTGGCGACTCGAACTGCTGCACATCGATGCAAAGTTCTGTCGAAAACAGACAGACAGACAATCCACGAAGAATTTGACAACTGGTTTGATTCAAGCACATACGAAGATTAAAGCTGCTGCTTGGTTGAAAGGAGTCCTAAGGATTTAAGAAGCAATGGTTCAGACAACAATTGCTGATATGACTCTTACTGGCGGAGGATGCATTCACTCTGTGTGATCTCCATGTTTTTTTTCCAAATTACTATTCTTTTTGTGCCTTACATCGCTGCTTAGTATAGAGTCACATTTTGAATCCCTTTTCCTCTCTCTCCATTTTATCTTCATTTTTGTGCTATGTGGAGTTTGGCAGGTAACTCGAACCGTTTCACTTCTGATGTTGAAACCAAGCAGTCGTCGTCAGTACACCCACATTCCCCTACTCTTAACTAATCAAATCTATCATCTAGCAACTAAACTATCAAACCAAATGTAGAGAAGCGCATCGGTAGTTCGCTCGTGGTAAAACGCTCGCCAACCACGCCACACATAGTCCAGCGTTCGATGCCCTGTCGACGAACTCCTAAACCTTGACAAGCCGATAGTAAGGCTGGTGAAGAGGAAAGGTTAGTTGTGAGACTACCAACCCCAACCTCATAAGAGTACAACAACTGCTGCGAAAACTTCAAAGCTCTCTAGCCTGAAGACCTTATATATGGTCGGGGGTGGGTGCCTTGCGCTGCGGGTTGGCCACCCCTCCGCACACCTCTTGAAATGCTCCCATATGACCGGGCGTCTTACATAGCCTCTCCTGAGGAAGTCCTACTCACTGCCTTCACGTGGCGGAGGTGTTTTTCACCAAAGTGAGAGGGCGAAAGCGGATGCCCGGCGCTCTTCACCGGGTTGACTGTCCACTGGATGACAGTCTAGGGGAGATGGCTAAACCCTGATTCCAAACCTCCAACGACTGGCGTATGAAGCTCACTGGAGCTCACCGGCAGACGTATGGACAAAGGGCTTGTTGGATGTCCTGGATGTCTGGCCCCATTCAAAAAGGCGTATGAACCGAACTCCGGTCACCGGCTGCCAATGGATAGTGGACTCCCTACTCCACTCCTACTGCCTTGTAGGTCACACTTGGTTGTGTAAAGGCTAGAGCTGCACTCTCAAACAAAAGGCCGAGCGATTCTGGGGAAATCACTCGTACCAAATTCCCATGAAACTTCATGAACTCTCTCCGTCTGTGGAACAAGAATTGGATAACCCTGTCGCAAAACCTTGCATCAGATCGCCGCGCCTGGGCAGCGATGATTCGAGATGTTCATGAAGCCGGCTCATCCTCCCGTAGGAGATAGCCGAAGTAAAGTAAAGTATATATATATATATATATAAAGATTGAAATAAACGTTTTTAAACAAAGCAAAAACTACTACTTATATTTATATATGCGTATTTATTTGTATTTGTATTGATCTTCAAAAAAAAACTTATTGACTGGAAAAATATTGAATAAATTTGTGTTTAAATGCAGTTTGTTTGTTTGTTAGTATGCATATATATATATATATATATATATATATATATCAGAAAGTACACTGGTTGAAAACAATTTCTACACAATTCACAAAGAACAGGACAGACTGATTGATCGACTGTGTATATATATATGTGTGTGTGCTTGTGTGTCTGTGATCGATATACACTGAAGTAAGGATTTTGAGCGAAATATTATAGTTTATATATATATGTATATGTATATATATGCATAGTTAAGAATATCACTGATAATTATGAATATTATTGGTAGTAATAATAATAACAATAGTAATAAGATAAGTAATAATAGTAGTACTAATTATTATTCACAAAAGACGACTCCCAATCGACCAAAAACAGTGGGGTTTCACATTTCTGGGAATAAAAGAGTAGTAGTAGTAATAGTGGTATATTGGGTGGAATTGCTGCAAAAAATTTGATAACTGGTGCTGGGGGCAGGGGAGGGAAGGAACAAAAACATAAAAAATAGGGGGTAGGGGGGAGCGATCACACACACAGGCACACGAACACAGATTGAATTGGCAAAAAATGCAAACAATGTTAGTCAGTTAGTTGGTTACTTAGTTAGTTAGTCAGTAGGTAGACACCAATTCTGGTTTCTCATTATAGTACACATGAAATATTATCGCCATTCCTTCACAGTGGGGTACACTCCAACCCACTCCACACTACACTACTCTACTCAACTCTACACACACTACACAGTAAGTATTGTACATTAGTAGTAGTAGTAGTAGTAGTAAAAAAAAGGTAACAGGGAAAGATATGTTGAAAATCACAAAAAAGGAAAGAAAAATAATGTTCAAATTTATTATAACACCGCTACACACACATACACACGCAGAGTAGACTACTCACACTGGGGACTGCCTGCTACCTACCACTAAAAGTCTTTATCTTCTAGAAAACTATAATGAAACATAAACTCCTCTTTTTTCCGTTGTCGCATTGTTCTAAAATCATAGTAAATATACGATCCAGATTCGTATTCATCAGTGATTTGTTTCGGTTCTTCATGACGTTGAAACCACATCATAAATTTTGTATGAAATCGCCATGACATACGTTTTAAGGCTTTAGCAGCTAGATATTGTGCTTTAGTGCCTTCAAAGTAATAGAATATAAAGAAGAGAGTTTGTGCATCTAATTTCATATAGTATTCTTCACTGTCTGTACCAACTAATGGTTCACGTGGATAATAACTTGGACAATTCACAGGATTTTTACACACGATCATACGTGATCGTTCTGTATCACAAGGATGCGGTAGACGACGATAACCACTTTCCAGGGCTTGAAGTTGTAGAAGAAGCTGAAGTTTTAAGAGGAGAAAAAACAACATTTGAAAAAGAAAATACATAATCATAATAGCATCAACAAACATGAAAAGGTGGCATGCATAGATCAACATATTATTTTTTTATTATTAGAGCTTGATTACACACAGTATTTTGTGTGGAGGTCAACAGCACTACTCAGCATGAAAGTGAAAATAAGATCCGGATTTTCAACTCCAATGTGAAGTCAATGCTACTTACTATACGGATCAGACACTTGGCGCCGCGCCGCGTCACGAAGGGCACTTCGAACAAACTACAGACCTTCATCAACAGCTGTCTTCGCTCAATATTACTCAAGATCAGATGGCCGGTCAGAAAAGATAAGCAACAGGGATCTCTGAGAACGAACCAACCAGGAACCAACTGTGCAACAAATATGCACGAAGAAATGGAGGTGGATTGGAGGCCATACTCTAAGAAAACAAACCACCATCAAGTGAGTGACATCACAAGCCAGGCCATTGCTCGAGTGGAACCCGAATGGGAAGTAGCGAGTTGGTCGTCAGTGTGAGGGTGACATGGAGAAGGAGGTCATGTGAAGAGGAGATGAAAGCATGTGGGCAGACGTGGAGCTAGGTGATGGAAACATTGGCAGAGAACCGAACGCAATGGAGACATGTGAGGCTGAAGCCCCATGTTCCTGTAGGAACTAAAGGAGACAATAATAATGATGCCAATGCATAAAGCAGAGGAAGTTCCTAGATGGTGGCATTCTATGAGTAACTCACTAACTAAGCAGGATACAGATAGATGAAAAATATAAGGGAGAAAAAGGAAAATGCATGCAACTATAATTTAGACGAATAGAGTGCACGACACCAATCTTAAATAAGTCTTGAGGTCGCCAAGGAAATGCGCATCCTAGATTCCACAGCTAGTCACCACCATCCCCCAAATAACATTATACTAATCCTCAGGCATCCTCAAGAAGCCTCCATACTAGGAGCTAGTATGTAAACAGAGACTGAACGCTTCAATCTGACACAATCAATCGACTGGGAATAAAAAATTAACTTAATATTAACTGACGTCCGTTGCACAAGAGGTGGTGGCTCTTGTGGTTCACATCGCCTAATGGAAAACGCTTTGGAAATTGAAACAATGAGGGTGCTGATTTCGAGTGTCAGTGAGAACGCTACCACTCACTCATCTATTCAGTAGAGATTGGAGATACACATCCAGAAGACCAGTCCCGGTCGGTCGGTCGGTCGGTTTTCGACAAAGAACTTTGCACATATGTGCAGCAGAGAAAGTCGCCCCACTATGTCCATGTAGCACACAAAGCAAGAGAAGAAAGTAGAAGAAATGCATAATATAGTCAGTAAACAGAGGTGTGAGACAAAGGAATAGTAATAACGGAGAACAAAACTGTTTCATTGGAAATCATAAGTCACAAGGAGTGGATGCATCTGCGCCACTGAGAACGATTTTCAGCCATGTCACCAATTGTTTCCAACCATTGGTTTTTACCATCCCGAGGGCCCCAACCAGGAAGTCTACATCTTCCTACGTGGCTTAGATTAACTGTTGTGGATTTCATTGATTGGTGCCATGTTTTGGTTTCACCGCCGCTAGCTCTTTTCCAGCCTGGCCCTATATCAGCTAACATTGCCCGTCGAGGAAGGCGATGACTAGGCATGCGTACGTAGCACATGTCCTAACCATCTCAGTCGATGTAATTTCACAGCCTCGTCGATTGATTTCCCCTCCTTACCTAGCACTCGACCGATGCCTAATCTCAGTATTGCTCACCTTATTATACCACTTCACGCGGGAGATAGAACGCAGACACCTATGATCGAAGACAGTTAATCTTTTCATGTCTTCTGCTCTCAATGGCCAGGTCTCACAGCCATAAAGGAGGACGGAGCGGACTGTTGAGCAGTACACACGCCCTTTGGTCGATAGTCGGATATCGCGTCTACGCCAGAGACGGCGAAAACTGGCGAATGCGAACCTAGCCCTCTGTATTCGTGCTGAAATTTCGTCGGAGATCAACCCGTTTGGGCTGATGGTACTTCCCAAGTAAGTAAGACCAGTCCCAAATATAACGAAATGTGCATCTTGGATTCCACTGCTAGAGTGATTATCCAACAAAAACTCATTTCAACTATTTTAGTAGATTTGGTCAAAGGTGCTCAGAATAAACAAAATTGGTGTGGCAATTGGTTATAAAAAAAAAAACAAATAGAGAGACAAATCTTGCCGAAGACATTGGCTAGCGGTTGCGCTATATCGTGAATTGGCAGAACTTAGAATTCATGGGCTGGCCACTGGATCAGGTCCCAGTGGCTTAATGGTCTACGAACTACCTCGCCTTGTAACCAGAAGGTCCAGGGTTCGAACCCCTTGTGGTGGGTGTGTACTGCTGAAGAGTTCCAAATAAGATTGACGAAACGGCCGTCCAGTACTCCCTGGTAGGTTTTCCAATGGTTCTCTAACCAATGTCAGCTCATGATGAAATCCTGTAACCAATCAACCAAATCCCTACAAACCAATACTTAAATAGAGAGACACTTGAAATATCCTGAAAGGAAAGGAAGTACGCAGAGCATTAGTGATCTTTTCAGTGACCTAAAGTTGTGAATGAAAGTCACGAGATTTGCTTGACATGAGTCATATGCAATCTTGCTAATAATATTTATTCAATTTTACAAGTTATTTATGCGGTCTAAAAATCCGCGAAATAGACAATTCAGCTATATATAAGTGTCAAGGTTTTTGTTAAAATAGAACTATTTGATATAAATATATATAAATATATATATATATATATATATATGGTGGCTCACCATTACGGTGCACTTCGAATTGTTAATATTAAATGGTTGGAGGCAATCGGCCACAGGAAGCCTTACCTGACCTAGGTTTCGTGCTAGTTGGCACTGACCAGTCAACAAGGCGTAACTGCAATCTTGAAGGAACTCATTTCCCTACCGATATTCGAACCCGCATCACCCAATGCCGCAGTCAGAGATGTTAGCATTGAGCTGTTTAGTCTCGCAATTGATCTCCCCTGTAGGACTTACTTACTTTCATTGGACACTAGTTAGTGAGGTCGTGAGGACGCACTGTCACACAGAGTACAAAAACTAGGCGGAAACAACTGTCCAGTGTACTCCAACTAATGTTGGTCTGTGATGAAACCTATATATGTATTTAAAATTTATGTGCAACGCGCTATAAGTCATACTTGATTCTTTTAAGGGGGTTTACCCAAGCCGAAGTACACGGGTCGTGATTTCAACTCAAGCGAAAATCAATAGTTTAAAAAACAAACAAACACTGAACCAATAATGAAAGACGAATCCAGTAAGTTGTATGAAAACAGATTATTTATTGATTACAGCTTGATTCCATACCGTAGTTTTTGGTACAAGTATGGAATTTTCAGCATGGATATCGTTAGCCCAAATTTACAGGCCGACCATAGATATCGGGTGTGCGCCGGCAGGGGATCGAACCACGGACCATGTGCATGGTCGGCGAGAGTCCTAACCACTGTGCCACCGACGCACATGTCATAAAAAATGGATATCCTCATTTTAAGAGAGTATTGCGACAATGAATTGCAGAAAGATGCGATTATCGAACATTTTTATTATTAAAAAACAAACATACATACATACAAATAATACTTTTATATTAGAATTTAATTGGTGGATGGTGACTAGCAGTGGAATCCAGGATAACGCGCATTTCGTCCTATTTGGGACTCGTCAGTGGATGGATGTACCTGCATTCCCCAGTGAGTGATGACAATGTTCCCACCGAGGCTCGAACCCAGTGCCCATAGTTTCAAACGCCAAAGCGTTATCCACTAGACCACTTGGGCCACGAGAGCCACCTCGGCCCAATCAATCAACGGGAAAATCTAAAATTCAATTAAATAATTAATATGACCCGTTGCACAAGAGACAGTGGCTCTCGTGGCCCAAGTGATCTAGTGGATAACGCTTTGGCGTTTGAAACTATGGGCACTGGGTTCGAGCCTTGGTGGGAACATCATCATCACTCACCGGGGAATGCAGGTACATCCAGATGACAAGTCACAAATAGGACGAAATGTGCGTTGTCCTGGATTACACTGCTAGTCACCATCCACCAATTAAATTCTAATTGCATGCCCAGACATCGTCGAAGCATCTGCACAAGAAGCCAACAGACATGTCAACCTGAGACCGAGCACTTTGGTCCAATCAATCAGTCGACGGGAAAATTTAAAATTCACTTAAATACTTTTATATTGTTTGTTACTGAAAGAGTTCATCGATTGGTTAACTCCTACTACAACAATTCAGTGATGATTCGCATAATAATTTAATAAATTTCACGTTTGAACACGAATAACATCCTACAACATTTCACTTCCGAAATGTGTTTTTTTTTTTCAAAGAGAAGGTAGACAATGGCGACAGAGGTTATTACGAAGGTTTATCTACTAAAAGCCAACCCCCCCCCTTTTTTTAGACCAGACACTTTACTAGTCGACAAAGAATTTTCATTGATTATGTGTAACTTACAGTTTGAGAAGATTTACTCTAAGAATATAATTGAAAAATAAATATTCATTGTTCATTCATCAAATACTTCTAAATATTGGATATTGGATGTATGCGCCAGTGGTTCAATGGTAGAATGCTCGCCGCTAAACACCTCGTGCGAGGTCCAGGGTTCAACTTACAACCAACGCACCACTCCCAGACCTCGCTTAGCAGGGTAATAAGCTTGGTCAATGAGGGAAGGTTGAACGTGAGCTCAGTAACCCCAAAACATGTAAAAATAACAGTTCACGCCGTAAGTTCAGTTGGAAACGTAAAGGAATTAAGTAAATAATAAATTGGGTATCGAATTAGGTTTATATTGATAAAAGTCTAGAGGAAAATATCATCCCTATCCGAATTACGGAACTAAAAAGAATACTGATTGTGAATACGGAGTTCAAAGAGAGAGAGAGAGAGAAACAACAGTC